ACTGTGGTGCTGCCCAGAAGGTCCTCACAAGCGTGCGACGTTTGTCCCAGGGGTTTTCCTGTGCTGCCATGAAGGCGCCTCCTACCATCCCATGCTCCTGTGTGTGCTCTGTGCCCGATCTTACTTCAGCTCTTTCGGGAGGCCTCACTGCTGGCTCCTGTCTCCGGCCTGACCTTTGTTTCCGTCTCGCCTGTCGCGGGAGAGCTTTGTTGCTGCGGTCTCTGCTCCTCTCTGCTGCTGGGACTTCTTCCCCAGCCAGCGGTGGTGTTCATCTTCTGTCTTTAAGATAATGGTTTACAAAGCAGTTGAAGCATTCACAGGTTCAGAGGAATTTCATATATGTATATATTCTTACTTATTTTAAACTTCAAAATATCCACGGGAGGCTGATTCCTGTCATTACTGAGTCTTCCAGGTGAGAGTCAGGCCTGGCTGTCGACATCTGTGCTGGAAATGAACTCATCTTCTGACCCTGAGCGCTGTCACCTTCTGCCATCCAAAGTCTTATTTAAACACTTTATAAACTCAGACTTCTGTAAACGCTCAAATTACTCATTCTTGCCGAATGAAAGCTGGAGTGAACCTCGTGTAGACGCGCCTCTCTCTCGGCCGGGAGCAGCTCTGTGCAGCCGGAGCTGCGGGCCTCTGCCCTTCCTCTCCCCAGCCGCCTGTCTCCTCTTGTCTGTGGTCACCCCACGCCCGCGGGGTGCACCCATCCAGCCCTGGCCGCTGGGAGCCCTTCGCCACGGCGTGGTTCTTACAGCACATTCCCCCCGGTCAGAGAGCCAAATGCTAGTTAGAGGCTGCAGAATTGCTTTTCTCAGTTGCACAAGTAAGTTTGTAAGGAGTCACTTGATTGTTCGTGGTGATGATCCATAGATCCTTACATCTCACACGTTTGATTTTTAATTAATATTTTAAACAAAAGAGAAAACGGAGAGAAGAAGTGACAGTGACACAGCCCCACCGGTGTCCCAGAGGCGGACATCCGTGACATCTGGCTGAGCCCCTCAGGAGGGCGGCACGGGCAGACACGGCCCTTGCTGCACCTGGTGAGTTTCCGGTCCTCCACCCTGCGCACTCCTGCCCTGTGACAGCCAGATGCTCGTGTTATTTCTCGTCCCCGCGTGGCTTTTTGTCTCTGTTTTTTTCTCGTGTCTGTACCTTACTAGCATCATATACTTGTATTTTTAGTGTATATAAATGTCCTGCTGAGCCGGTCCCATTATATTCTACATCATAAGTAATTGTCTTAATAATCATACCAGTAGATCTGTTCATTTCCTAATAGATGATTTCTGGGTTTGTCTTTTCTACGACAGTGTTGTAAATGTCTTTTCTCCCTGAGACAGAGTCTTGCTATGCAGTTTAGGTGGCCTTGAACTCAACGGGTAGCCCATGTTGGCCTCAGAGGTGGCGGCGGTCCTCCTGCCTCATCCTCCCATTGCCGGGTTACAGGTGTGCCCTGCTGTCCTTCTGACACCAGCGCGTTTTTGCAGGGTAGGTACCCAGAAAGGGCAGTGGGAGCAGGTGAGCCTGGCAGAGGCCCTGCCTGCATGGGGGTCTGCACACTGTTCTGCCCTGACGTGTTGGCCAATGCACTGTATGAACAGACCTTTTAACCTTCGCAATCACCTTAAAATGACTCTTTTAAAACACCTCTACTCAGACTTCTTTATCCTTTATTTTTTTGTTTAATCCATTTTAACTGATACGTGAAAGTGTGAACCCTGTGTGTGCCTCAGGGCACCCTGGGCTGTTTCGATGTACGTGTGTGGTGTGGGGCATTGGAATCCTGGCATGCCGATCTGGATCCATGTCCTGAGACAGTGCCCACTCGTGTGTGTGCCTCCCAGAGCTCCGTGCTCCGGCTGGGGTGCGGTGCCCACACCAGCCTTTCCCTCCCTCTCTGCCCCTGGCCCAGCCTGGGCACCTCCACCCCGCTCTCGGCAGCTGGGCTGCAGCATTATGGGCGGTTGCTCTTAGTCCCCGCGCGTGCGGTGTGCAGGATCAGGTGCCTGTGGGTGGCACAAGCACATGACCCCTTCTCTCCCGGCACGAGATCGTCTCCCCATTTGCAGAGGGTCGTGCAGTATTCCCTGTCTGAGCCTGGCTGGTCTCCAGTTCTGTCCCCACGGCCCCAGAGAACGGTTTTCATGCTCATTTCTGCTGGTGCCACCCCCCGGCGTGCCCGGGCACCTTCTCTTTACCCGCGGGTGGTTGAGTGACACCGTTGTTTTTCTTCCTGGCTCTGCAGGCGGTGCTGCAGTAAACACAGGCTGCAGGGGTCTCCGAGAAAGGAGCCCACCTGCCTGGTGTTCTCCAGGTGGTGGTCGGGAGGAGCTGGTGGGGTCCCCTGGCAGTGCTGCTGGTGACAGATTGGTTTTCTGGCCTTCTGGGTTTCTTTCTGTAACAGACCCTCTTCCCTGCCTTTGCCCATTTTTCTGGTGCTTTGTGTGATTAATACGTAGGAGTTACTTAAACTGGTGTGAAGGGACGCTACTGCTTTGTCTTTGGTGACTTCCGGCAGGCTTCTTTATGGTTTGTTTCCATGCATCCCGCTTGCCTGTTGCCCGGGACCCACAGGGTACCTGTGTCATTGCAGCCCTGGCCTGCCTCTGAGAACCACGGGCTACTTCTGGGAGAAGTCCTGCTGTGAAGACACTTTCCTGCTTCACACGAAACGGGCAGCAGAATCACTTCATTTTTCTGTTTTACTTGGTGTGATGTTCTTTGTCTAAAGTTATGTCCTTAAGCTGTATTCCCCTATTTTCTTCTGAAAGTTTGAGTTTTGCTTTTCTCATTTAGCTCTCTCGCCCACCTGCACTTGGTTCAGGGGCCTTGCATGAGATCAGCCTGTCTTCGTTCGTAGGATCCCCGTTGTCTGCTTCTGCTCCGTGGATGTGGTGTCTCCTCACTGGCGCGTGCAGCAGCTTTCAGTAGGTTTGTCTCTGCGATCTCCGAACTGCTCTGTTCGTATTTCCCTGACACTGCACCTCGCTTTGGTTTGCTACAATTTCACCATATAAAGCCTCCCTCCCAGTTTTGCTTCTTCCAGATTGTGTGGCCTCTTTCCTTATGTTTTTGCTGTATCAAATAAAGTTCAAAATGAACTTCTGAAAGTGTGCTGCTTGTTAATTTGTGAGGACATGTTCGTTTGCTTTTGAAAGTAACCTCATACCGCTTAGTGATTTCCATAAAGTGTTTTCCCTTGTGCCCATTGTCCACCACCCGGAGCTAGGAGAGCAGAGAACAGAAACACAATGTGCTGTTGTAATTTCTTTTTCCATAGTTTTCTCTGCTTTTGAGCTTTATATAAATAGAACATACAACATATACTCGTGACTGGCTTGTTCAATCCAGTAGTGTTATGAGTTTCATCCACATTTTTGCTTGTAGTTATTTCCTTTGTCATGTAGAATTGTTCCTGTGACTGTAGTGCAATTTATCTGTTCCACTGCTGGTAAACATTTGGGTCGTTTCCAGTGAGTCGACAGTGAAAACAAGTGCGTGAACAGTCTTTGCGTGTCTTCCGTTGCACTCCCTGTGCCTTCTCGTTGGCCTGTGTGGGGAGCAGCGCTGCTCCACTGTGCCTCTTCCCGGCCTGGGTAGGTCCCATGACATTTTCCTAGATGCTGTACAGTTGACTTCCCATCAGTGGTATAAGAATTCCACTTCCTTTCTGATCTTTGCCAAAGCTTAATATTGACAGGTTTTGCTTAAAAAAAAAGGAAAGAAAAAAGGAGCATGAGCTCTGTGTGTGTGAAGTGGCGTGTCCAGATTCGCACTTCTGTGACCGCTGGAGGCTGCCTTCTCACTTCTGTGCTGACCACTGCGTGTCCTTTTAAAGTTGCACACTTTATTAGGTTTTTTTCCTCTGATTTATGAATATTGGGTGGCAGTTGTTGGGAATGCGATGCATCTCTCCTGAACTTCATGCCGTCTTTGGAGTAGAACTTGTTACACGCAGTGCGCTCCGGTTCTCCAGCCTCCCTTCGAACCTCTTTTCCTCCCGTCCCAGTGCTGTGTGGCACCTCTCCTGCAGGGCCAGCCCATCAAGCCTTTCCTGGTTCCCAGTTACCCCCAGGCATGAGGAGCCTGGTTTGTGCAGAGCTTCCCTGCCAGGACCATCAGCAGTTGCTGGTGCCCGCTGGGCTGGCATTGCCAGGGTTGGGCTCGCCTGGCACGAGATGGGCCTTGGGCCCACGGCCCTTACTGTAATTGCTGAAGTAGGAAAGTTCTAGAAAACCCAAACATCCTGAGAGTGACAGTTCTTCCACCTTTCACATGCTCTGGTAAGATGCCAACGAGTAATGAATGCCAATAAAATGGACGTCTAGAACTTGGTGTTGTAAACGTCTTAGTAGTCATCCACCTCTGACTGAAGGGTTCGGGTGCATCCAACCCAAAATGGGCGGTTAGCTGTGGTGGCACCGATAGACAGCTGTGAGGACGGCTCCTGTGCGAGCCCGGTCCCTGTGGTCCTTCCCGAACGCCCTCAGAGCCGACGGCACCGTCAGGCTGAGGCAGAGAGAGCCTCCCGGTTGGAGGCTCCCTGTCAGCTGTCCCCAGTCGCTGCGTTGGAATCGCGGGCCCTGCAGGGTAGGACGAGAGGTGGGGCCGAGGAGCCCCTGCCACCAAGGGGCAGCGCGCTGGGTCCGCACAGGGGCGGCGGGGTGCTGGCTCGTGGGGGCCACCCTTCCCAGTCTCCACTCCTGCTTGCCCATCACCATCCTTGTGGCATTTTCCCTGGCGCCATGGCTGTATCCGCCCCCTGATGAGGTGCTGAACCCATGGAGGGTGCCTGGCTCCCGGCCTCCTCCCTTTCCAGCCTCAGCCTCAGCTCAGTCACAGCAGCGCCGGCCTGGGCATTGCCTGTCCACATAGGCCGCAAAGCCGAGTTTAAGCCGAGTTTGGCCTGCAAACTCCCACGTGTGGCATGAGGCAGACCGGTCCTGTCAGCCCCCGATGCCCTGCGTGACCTTGTTTTCCACTTCCAGGAGGACTCAGAGAGAGTCATGATCATCACCGGCCCCAACATGGGTGGGAAGAGCTCCTACATCAAGCAGGTGGCCCTGATCACCCTCATGGCTCAGGTGGGCTCCTACGTTCCTGCGGAGGAGGCGACCATGGGCATCGTGGACGGCATTTACACCAGGTGAAGCGGTGCTCCTTTCCCTGTGTCTTGAGAACAGTCGGCCCCACGGCACGGTGTGTCCTTTCTGTGTGTACCACGTGTGTTCGATGAGTAAGCGACCTAAACCTTCAGTGATGTGTGCCAGCAGTCGGGAGCCTGATGCAGGGAGTTAACTAAAACAAACTCATTATAGTAAAAGATGCTTTGCCAAGGATAATGGGGCAAGTGTGTTCCAATGAGGGATCCATAGCAGTGTGTCTTTCTTCGCTCACTGTATTGACCGTTTATGGCAAACTCTGTCGAATAAAAACGGGATGCTGGCCCTGTGGGACTCTGGCTCCTCCCCAGACTCACAGACGGCAGAGGGAAAGGTTTTGAATCCATTTGGGACACTGAGGCAGCTAAAGACACTTGGGACAGAGGACTCCAGAGTCGCTGCAGAAAGCGGTAGGGACAGTGGATGACAGTGCGGAGCCAGCGGAGGATTTGAGGGGGGTTCGCGGCAATGCGTCTCTTACTGTAGTACTTTTTAAAAACTTAAGTGTTCACCATATTCATCAGTCCCCATTTGTATAAACCTTAATTTCGTGCTGTCTTAGGAACATGGGTGAAATATCCTGACGTCTCTAAAGAGAATTCATAGTTTTATCTATTTCATACCTCATGATTTATTAGTTCTTAAAATATTTATATTTTTAAAAAGTACAACACACACACACACACACACACATTCAAGCTTTGTGTTCCCTGAAGTGCACCTGTGTATAATGGGAAGTCAGTGGATGAAAGGCTTAGGCAGAGTGTTAGGGATTTTTTTCTGAATGTAATGCATGATGTGAACTTTTTGCTGAGTAAGGAACTTTTTTTATTGTAATGGGGAACAAACTCATTTGAATAAAAAGTAAAACAGTTGTCCCCTTCTCCCCAGAGTTTATGTCCGCTTGTGCCGATTAAATCCCGGTGGAGAGGGGTGTCTATGTCACCTGGCCCCTAGTCTGTCATTCTCCTGGCTGTGCACACGACTCCTTCCATGGGCCCTGAACCGCACCAGTGGGCTTATCCTCCAGGGCACTCGAGTGTGTGCACCGAACACCCGAAGTGTCTGCTGTGGCCACTGACCAGTGCCGTGCAGTGCAGTAAATATTACCGAGCGCCTCCTATGCAGGGTCGCGCTCTGTGAAATAACCCTCCCTGCTGGGGAGGACAGCTCTCTGCTCACACCTTCTCAGTGTGGTAACCACCAGCCCTGGCCGTGCCGACTGACTTCTCCCCCGAGTGGTGCTGAATGCACCGGCTTGGCCGCGTCTGGTCTCCGGAGCACCGGTAGCGGTGTGTAGGCAGCGGGGCGTCTCTCCCTTCCTCTTTTGATGGCAGGTGGTGGTGCGAATTTCATGGCTTTTCTTTGATCAGAGCCTCCTGAAGGTTCGGTTTGACTTGGGCTTCAGGGCAGCCCCAGGCTCATCCCCTGGTATAGATTTCTGCAGGTGCTAGCCTAGCCTTTCATTGTTACCGAGAGGGCAGTTCTGAGTTCCCATGAGAGTGGAGAGGAAGAGGAGAGGTTTCTGCCATGCCTGGTCCGCCCATCCTCAGCCTGTCCTGTGCGCGTCACAGTGGCTGAGATGACTGTGGCTCGCACTGCCCGGAGTCTGCAGGTCCATCAGGGCTGGACATCGTGGTCACGTCTGGGTGTTGGTGACTGAGTAAAGCAGCTGTACACACCCACTGCACCGAAGTCCCGGCACCTTCGGGTGAACACCAGGGCGGGCACTGGTTGGGTCCTGGGGCACCGTGTGTCGTGTTGTCACCCGTGCCAGCTCTGTCCGAAGTCGGCCATCACCTTGCATGGCACCAGCTCGTGAGCCTCCTGCCTGCCCAGCGTGCAGGGGCCCGGGCGTGGCCTCTTCTCAGTGCCTCACTGTGTGTTTCCCTGGTGACATCGTGAGGTGCATCTTGTCACAGTCCCTGGCCATCTATGTATTTGTTTTCAAGATGAAGATTTATTTATGATAGAAATACATAGAACAATGGTCACATATCAAAGTGAGGAGGACAGTGTCTCAGTGGCTGAGCGCGTGTTTGGCATATGCAGGGCCCAGGTCTAGCCCCTAACAGCCTGTTCTAAAATCAGCAAATGTTAGCCGGGTGTGGTGGTGCACGCCTGTAATCCCAGCACTTGGGAGGCTGAGGCAGGAGGATCGCTGTGAGTTTGGGACCATCCTGGGCTACATAGTGAGTTCCAGGTCAGTCTCAACTACATAGTGAGACTCTGTCTCAAAAAACCAAAACACGCACACACAAATATTATTTTTTTTTATTCTTTTGTTTGAAAATGTCTATTATACAGTAGCCATCTTATCTGCATATTTTAATTTTAAGTTGGCAAGTGATAATCATGCATGCATGATATGTAATGATCTGACCCATGAATATAGAGGGTAATAGGTGTGGCACACTCTGGTAATCCCTGCACTCTGTGAGGCTGAGGCAAGAGGATCACAAGTTTGAGACCAGCCTGGGTGATTTAGCAACTTAGTGACGCTCTGTCTCAAAATTAAAAATTATAAAAGAGCTGGGGATGTAGCTCAATGCAAAGCCCTGGGGTCGATCCCCAATACTGCAAAATAAAAAAGTGGGAGAAGAAAGTAGTAACTAAGTGAAGCTAGTTAACGTATCCCTCACCTCAGCTGTGTCACATTTGTGTGGTGACAGCACTGATGCCTGCCCTCTCGGCGAGTGTGAAATGTGCAGCACTGCAGTACTAACCATGGCCTCTTCAGCCTGTCCCTTACAGAAGGCCCGGGGATTTCGATTCGGGTCACGGAGGCCCTCACCATCTGCCGTGACTGAGAAACAGGTCCGGTGTCAGCTCAGAGCACCCTGGCTGCTGACAGCACATTCTTACTCATGTTCTCATGGAAGCCTTCTTGACTGTAGAAACAACTCAAAGAGTCCTTTTCTGTAATTCCTTTTCTGTTTATTTTTATTAAGCTTTGTTGACCTATATAAGGGTTACCCGTGAGGAGGGAGTAGGGGGATTAGAAAGATTAGTCCGCTGCCACTCCTAAAAATATCAGAGTGATTTTTCCCCCTTAATCACATAACTGTAACCTTCTCTCTACACAGAGCAAACTCACACTAAGATAAAAACTAAAGAATGAGTTTTCCAGTTTTTACTACACTTGAGTTTAAATACAGAGAGCAAGATAATTATATATGTTCAGAATTGCTTAAATCTTTAACGTATTTTAACATTTGAAAAATTTCAGAATCCTTGTCCAGTAACGTGCCTTGTGGTTATTGACTCAGTGCAAAATTATAAATGTCTTAGTTGGTAATTATTTTGTATCTGCCTTGTTTCAAAAACTTACTTTAGGCAGTTTAGTGAGATATATAAAAGAAGATGAATGAGAGAGACTGGTTATCCAAAGGGGTTGGATCAAAAATAAATCAGGATAGAAACCTAAGAGGATGCCAGGTTTCTCCGTGTTATTATAAGTTGTTTTTTAGTAACCAAGAGAGAAGGAACAAACTGCACGAAGGGGAGGTGGGAGTGGAAGTCCCTGTCAGTAGACGGTTCCCACAGGCACAGCCGAGACGCCATGGGGACGCCGTGGGGACAGCAGCAGCCGAAGCCGGAACACGAAGCCCGAGCGTTGTCTTGGCCCGGTGAGCCCCATGGCCCAGGGACAGTGGCCCGGCCTCCCCAGTGTCTCCCTGTCCCGGGACCAAGGCATCTACAAGTGCTGGCGTGTCGCTCTGTCCAAGGCCTGGTGCTCACTGAATTCACCAGCTCCGAGCAGTGCCTGTCCGCTTCTTGCCACAAAACATGAAGAGATCAGTCTCCATCTGTGGTCCTCCTCCTTTCTCCTCCCTTCCAGTTTTTAAAACTTCCTTTAAAAAGACTGATATTTTTGATGCTAGAACGGTCTCTTGCACCCTTTCGTAGCCTGGGCTAAAATAGGAGGAGCCAGCGTGAGTGTCACGTTACTGGGCCTGTGACACGTGCACGTTCACTTTAGGGTTTCGTGGGGGGAGAATCTCACTCTAAGACATTAAGCTGTATCGGTAGGGGAATCTTCTAAGCCTCCCAGCCCAGCACTCTTCCAACTTCACTTGCTGCTATTCCTTCTATCTGCATTCTTTCGTAAATATTATCTTCTGTTTTGGGTTGTCTGAGAGCTCTTTGCATGTAGGGTTTGTGGGAACACATCTTTTCCGAGGCTAGAAAGCCCAGGTTAGCTTTCTTTTGCCTCCGTACCTAAGTTTAGATCGATATAAACATCCAGACTTTAAAGACATTGTCTCTAGTTTCTCCCTCCCGCCCTCATGATAGGTGAGGGTCGGATAGCAGTCTGGTTCCCCTTTGTTAACAATGAAATGTGGAGGGTTATTTTCAATCCCATCATTGTACAGTGCCACCAGAATGTTTCGACTTCAGTCTTTTCCTGTAAACCTCACGCTGCGTGTTGTGGAACCTCCCCGTTGCCTCGGTGGAGGGGAATTTTCTCCGCCTGCCTTGCTGCCTTCGTGCTCCTGCTTCTCCACCTCCTGTGCAGGGCCTGACCGCACACAGGAAATTCTGTGTGTAAGTACTTTCCACTCCTCAGCTTTTCTGCCCTCCGTGCTCACAGAGAACTCTCAGTTTATCTTCCAAACTAAAATCTTGGGCCTCCTCAGCACCCAATTTTAATTCCACCTTACAGTGCCTTCTTTCAGCGATGCTGTTTCTAACTGCCAGGAGTTTTTGTTCTCCAGTTGTTTTGCTTTTGAGGGACTGTTCTTGTTTTAAGATGTGGTGCCCCATATCTCACGAAGGGTACCAGTGGGTGGTTTTGTTTCTTTAATTCTGTTCCGTGATGTGTCTTTGTCCACGTGTTCCGTGGTAGCTGCTTGGTCTCAGTGCTTTTCTTCCACACTGTCTTTTGCCCTCAGCTGCCCTTAGCTTGTTCTTCGGTGCTGGGTAAGCTCAGGCATCTGAGCGGAAGCCCCTCGCGTCACTGTGGGTGCTGTGTGGGTGTCCTGACTGGCACTGTGCCTGTCTCCCTGTCAGCTCCCTGCCCTGCGCTGAGGGCTTTCTGGAGAGCCGGGCGGTCACACACAGGGTATTGTGACCACTCCTAAGGTCCAGACTTCTAATATACCTGTTGTGTTGGTGGTGTAATTTTTCATCATAGTATTATTTACTCTTATGCTTGGGCATTTATTTGGCTTTTTCAACTGTCATTAAATAACTTGTTATGAAGAACATATTTGTATGTATAATTTGTTCATGTATTGCTGATAATTTTCATGATGTTGATTGCTAGAGTGAAATTCATGGGTTATGAAAGGCATTCATAGCTGTTATTAAATTATCTTTTGGAAGACTGTAACAAGTCTCAATCTCCCATTTTTGATAGCAGTGGATAATACCCCTCATTTAGCATGTCCCGGCTGGCTTGGACCAACGGGCGCGTGTCCGACAGTCCCTCGGGCGGCTGGTACCACTGGTTGTACAGATAATAAGATCACGCCCGGAACAGTCATGCCCGTGTCACCGTGGTTCCAGCCCCCCAGCGGTGAGACCTAAGAACTGTGGCCCCACTGTATTCATGTTTGCTGACTGACATACATAATCATCGCTGTTTGAACCTGTTAATGTGCACATCTTCACAGACTTCCTTTGCAGATTAACTGCACGTCTTTTCCTGTTTGCTGGTGGATGGTCACCCTTGTTTTTGCTTCATGGGTCTCTGTTTTGGGGTTATCAACCCTTTGTCACATATCTTACAGAATTTTTTCCCCAGTGTGTAGCTTGTCTTTCACTTTGACATGATGTGCTTTTCCGCTAAGCAAATGTGTTGGTGCTGTGTGTACAAAGCCACTTGTTCACCTGTCCAGAGGCGAAATTCCATCTGGCTAGCTCGGAGTGTTTCGATTTCTATTCTCGCATTATACTTTTAAATCCATGTAATTGTTTGGAAACATGATTTGAGTAAGGATATGTCTCTGTTTTATTCCGACATAACCAACAAATTAGTCTCTTTTTAAATTGGCTGATCATTCATCTTTTCTTCTCAATTTGAGATTTCAGCATAGCCATATGTTACACATTATATCTATGCATGTATACGTGTGTGTGGCTGTCTAAAATAACAACCCAGGAATTTCAGGAATTCTGGGTATTTCCTAACTAGACTGCTTTATTACTTCACTGTTTCTAGAAAACACTGCAATAGACTACTTAAACTTCTATATTAAAATCTCATCCAGTACTTGCTTGTTATCCTAATTTTTGGAAATTTGAAAAATCTCCAAAATACTCATGAGAGTATTTTATTACCAGCCAGTTTTCATTATTATTATTATTTTTTTTTTTGTCTGCTCATAGCCTGTTAGTAAAGATAAACAGTGGTAAATGGGAATCAAACACTGTTCTGAAGAATGGAGTTGCTTCAGAGAGGAAAGCTGAATCTGTTTGTTTTGTGGTTGGGAGAAATATTAGCTAACATTGAGAAGTGAGGCAAGTAGCAGTGTTTGGAGTTAGCAGGCTAAGTGAGCAGCATCCAGCTATTGTCTTGTATGGATGGATTTTAAAATAGGCAAATTTGGCCGGGGATTTAGCTCAGTGGTTCCGCCACTTGCCTTGCAAGTGCAGGGTCCTGAGTTCAATCCCAGGTAGGTACCAAAATAAAAAAATTTTAAAAATAGGCAAACTTGACAGCATTTCTTGTTAACTAAGGGCCACATCACTTGGACAGTGCTGCCTGTGGAACTGCGCGGTGTCTCCCGCCACATGGCTGGTGAAGACTCCGTTTCTCCGGATATGGAAGGTCCATTGTGGCACAGTAGGGCAGGTGTGAATTATGTGCTCTGCTGTGTGAACTGCTGAAGCAAACAGAATCAATGAGGTGATTTGTCATAGAACATGGTTATCAGCATTCCCACGAAGCTGGTTCGTGGGTCATCCCCGCATTGTATGTTTCTCAATTAATCGCCTAGCCTAAAGCGAGTCTTACCTGATTTTTGGCGTCCTCCTTGTTTACCCTAACACATCTGTAAATCACTGCTGCCGCTAGTGCTGTAGGAGAAATCTCAGGGAGTGGGGACATCCGGTCCCAGACCTGCTCTGAGGAGTGGGCCATGTGGTCTGATGGTTAAAGACTGAGAAGTCCTGCTGGAGAGGAGCCTTGGGTCGGGGAACCCCTTCCTGGCATCTCAGAACTGTTCCCATGGGGAATCTGTTAGCCGCTGTCCACGGTTACTAAGTGTCCAGCTTTAGTAAGAAGTGTTATATGCAGGGAGCTATTTAGCACATGGGACTTTAATTTGTGATAACAATATGGAGTTTTGTTAAGAAAAATACCCTTAGTTTTACAAGATTCGTCTGCTCATGGAGTTTTCAGAGAGTAACATGACTTGGTTTGGAATCATTGGCCAGAAAAAAGCAGAAAGTTTTCACCTTTTCTAGACTTCTGCCCGGGACCCCTGTTGAGATTGTTTGTACAAGGGACAATTAAAGGTTGGGCACGCTAGTGTGTGTTTCCGTTTATTTGTCCCAAGTTTGGCAGTTGCGGGCTTGGGTGCGTGTAACAACCGTGTAATCTGCAGTGGCTTTTTGTACTCCTTGCTCGTAAGCCAGGCCTGGTCAAAGAAGTCAGGGTGTTTCTTGTTACCGGTAGAATGGGTGCCGCGGACAACATATGCCAAGGACGGAGCACTTTTATGGAGGAGCTGGCGGACACGGCCGAGGTCATCCGGAAAGCCACGCCGTGGTCCCTGGTGATCCTGGACGAGCTGGGCCGAGGCACGAGCACGCACGATGGGGTCGCCATCGCCTACGCCACCCTGGAGTACTTTATTAGAGACGTAAGTGTCCTGCGTGCCTCTTTTTTTAAAACAAATGAGCTTTTGTCGCAGTATGGTCTCCCGACACATTGTAACTGCGCACCTGTGTGGCCACGCCAGTCCTGATAGGCACAAACCAGGACGGCCTTGAAATCAAGCAGCTCACGGACACCGCCCTGCTTATTTTGGGGTGAGACATTTGAATTTGGTGTTAGTTACTTGGAGATGTGCGGTCATTGTTACTGACCACAACACCTTCTGCGGCATCTGCGTGCCCTGGTTTAGCTGGATGGCACACTGCAGAGAAATCGCTTCCTTCTCCTGGCCCTGAGCCTGCGGTTTGTCCCGAGGTCGGGCATTCGTGGGGTCTGCAGTGGACGCACGGACACCCAGTGTGCTGGTCTCCTGCCAAGGACGGCGGGACAGCACTGCCCGCAGGCTCCCCTGGGCCTCCTCTCCCCTCTGCTTCCCTCCCTTGCCTCTTGCTCTGAGCACGGCCGCTCGTGTGACCAGCATGGCGCCGCTGTGCTCTCCCTTTCTGTTCTGTCTCCTACACCACCCGCTCTGTCTCTCTGTTTGCGCATGTTTTTTCCCTCTTTCCTTCATCTCCGTCTCCTCCCCTTACTTTCATTTTTCCTCCATTCCTGAAACAGCCAATAAAAGCATATTTTTTTGCTCATATTTCTTTTTAAAAAAAAAAAAAAAAAACACAAAATTCCTTTTGCTTTAGCCTTGTAAGGCCTTTGGTGTTGTTCTGCTTTGTTTTCTTGCTTTGCTTTTAAAGTGTGATTTTCTCCTTTTTCTCTGGCCCTCGGCACTCTGCTCTTTAGGCAGTGCCTGGCGTCCGAGTCTGTGGCCTGGCTTTGCAGGAATGGCCCCGTGGCCTTGCTCAACAGTGCCAGACAGGCGGGTGCCACAGTTCAGTCCTCTGTGTGCGTGACAGTGGTCTCTAAGGTCACAGGACCCCATGGCCCAGCAACGCTGTGGCATGTCAGCTCATGTGTGCTATGTCAGGACAGGCAGGTTGCCCGGCACATGTTTCTCAGACTCTTTCCGCTGTGGCCCAAATGTGACCAAAGTGTCGTGTGCAGCCTGTGGGACTCACATGTCATCCAGTCACTTTAGAGTGTCCCCAACTGCCGTGACCTCTGCTGCGTATAAATGATGACCTCCAGGCCTCCTCCCTGGGCGCTAGTGTGTCCTGCATGCCCGGCCACCACCTGAGGGTCAGGGCCACTGCTCCTTTGCATCACGACTTAGAAACAGAGACCAGAGAGTCTCGGCTCTGTGACACCGCCTCGGGTTGTGTGGAGATCAGTGACAAGGCTTCTGCTGCAAAAGCATACTTGCTATTTCCCTTTATAAAGATTTTATTTAGCCGGGCGTGGTGGCACACACCTGTAATCCCAGCACTCAGGAGGCTGAGGCAGGAGGATTGCTGTTGAGTTTGAGATCAGCCTGGGCTCTGTAGTGAGTTCCAGGTCAGCCTCAACTACATAGTGAGACCCTGTTTAAAAAAAAAAAAAAGATTTTATTTATATGCAAAATGATAGTTAGAGAAGCATTTTTTGGGTTTTTTTTGCGAAGTGTTTTTAACCGTTATAGAAGCCACTTCTCATGGGAACGTCGATAGAGCATCAGTGTCCCTAGCAGCCATTCTCAGTTCTCACTTGGAACTTGAGTTTGGTGTCATCACTTTGCTGTTGGAAGTGTGTCGGCCAGGTGTGGTGCACACATCGGAATCCCTGCATTCTGGGAGGCTGAGGCAGGAGGATGACAAGCTTGAGCCCAGCCTGGGCAGCTTAGCAGCTCAGCAAGATGCTGTCTCGAAATCAAAAACAGCTGGAAGTGTAGCTCAGGCAGAGGTCCCGGGTTCAGTCCCAGCACTGCGCACGCACACACACACAATCAATCACTATGATTGTCACAAGTGACCCTGGAGCTTCAATGATGACAGCAGACATTGCTGCCGCCTGTCGTGGTGGGTCTTGGCTGGGCCCCCGTGGTCGGTAGTGTCAGTGCCCCCTTCTGCCTCTGTGTCCTCAGGAGTTGGAGCCCAGCAGCCACCAACACTGTAGTCCACTTCTCACAGTGCCCTGGGAATTCATTCCAGAGCTCAATGTGTTGCTTCTCTTTTTCTTGCCTCTGCTCTAAAGCAGCTTTTGGGTGTTTTAAATGTTTCAGGAGAAATTGTTACTTTCAGGTGAAATTGACCTTGGGTGCATTGTGCGCAGGGGCCTAGACTTAAAAAAACAAACTTTTTTTTCTGCGATCAGTTGACTGTCTTCCTGTAGGTCAATGTCTTGGGCCCTTTTTTATGATTCATTAGCCTATGAGCCTTTTTTTTAAAAAACCAATTTTATACTGTTTTGTTTTGTTTTTCTCATTGTTTTTTGTTTGGTTTTGGGGTTTGACGTTTTTTACCTGGTGCTACTAGGACTGAACTCAGGGCTTTTACGCTGAGCTACATACTTTTATTTCATTTTATTTTTTATTTTGAGATAGAATCTTACTAAATCACCAAGTTGCCTAACCTGGGCTTGAACTTGTGATCCTCCTGCTTCAGCCTCCCAGAGTGCCCCCCCAAGTCCCAGCTATAGTGCTCTGTCGATCGCTGCAGCTCTGTGGTGAGTGTTGGAGTTGGGAGCGGTCATCCTCCAGCTTTGTTCCTCAGTACTGGGTTGGCTATGATGGCTCTTCTGCCCTCCATGTAGACGTCAGGTCAATTTGCTGATACTCATAATTATGCTGGAATTACGTGTGGTGTGGCATTGAATCTTTGACCAAGGTGGGAAAGACAGCCATCTTGCCATTCTGGAGCCTTCCTGTACAGTAACGTGGCTCCTCCTCTGGTTCATTTCTTCAGAATTATATAGCTCTGTCAGGTAAGTCTTGTCCGTGTTTTGTTAGAGTCGTACCTAAGGCCTTCATTTTGGGTGTGCTAAGGTCACTGGTACTGCGTTTTTTATTTCAAATTCTACTTCTCCACTGCTGGTATAGGAGAGCAAGGGCTTCCATGTATTGATCTTGGATCCTGCAGCCTTGCTGTGATCACTTCTAACGTCACTGGGAGGAGACAGGCCAGGGAAGCCTGCTGTGTGATCTGGAACAGTGTGACGGTGCTGTTGCGGGTACACGGGCAGCTGCTTTTGTTCTCCCAAGACAGAATCTCAAGTCTCCAGGGAAAAAGTCCGCAGCTGACTTGCAAGCAGGCTGGGAAAAATGTGCATATATCTGTGTGTGCGTGCGCGTGCATGCTGTGTGTTTGTGCATCGCACATGTGTGTGCAGATGGGAAGGAAGAAGAAGGGACTATGACAAGACATTATTAACCGCTGTTTGTTTTCTAGTAAAGAGTATGGCATGCTCATTGTACTTTTCTTGCAGCTTTTGTGAAGGTGTAAAGCTTTTCCCCCAAATCTGAAGTTTTGGTTTAACATTTAAAAATAACACTTACTGTGTCTCGTTGCTGTAGGTGAAATCCCTAACCCTGTTCGTCACCCACTACCCGCCGGTGTGTGAGCTGGAAAGGAGCTACCCGGGCCAGGTGGGGAATTACCACATGGGCTTCCTGGTGACCGGGGACGAAGGCCAGGCAGGCCCAGGTAGGCGAGCCCCTGCTCCTGCACAGTACACCGCACACTCGCGTTCGCGCTCGCTGCAGCTCCCCACGCTCCCCACGCTCCCCAAGTCCTGCCTGGGCTGCTCCCCCACCCGGCCCCTCCGGCCCCCTTTCTTGATGTCGAAGTGGAGCTGGGAGTGCTGGTGCCCGCTCTCCTGTGCTTCACCCTGGAAGGAGCTGCTGGCTGGGCTGTCGTCATCTGCACAGATGCCCAGCGTTCTGCGCGCCGCATGGCGCTGACTGCACACTGAGCTGTGCCGTGCTCGGCCTTCGCGCTGCGACTGTGAACTGGGCCAGTGGCCTGTGGCTTCTCCAGGTCCGTCCTTATCACCTTTCTGAAATCATGCGTGGCTCTGGAGGCCCCGGACGCACTCCCTGACCGTGCATGGCTGCAGATCAGGAGCTTGGAAATCTCCCGAGCAAGCGTGACACTGCCGCCTGCTCGCAGGTCCCCAAGGGCACTGGCTCGTCCCTCCTCACTGGTGCGCTCCTCTGATACAGCAGTAACAGGCAGCCCGGGAAACACTGCGGCACCCACGGGGGCACGGGAGCCCAGGAACAGAAAAGCTGGGTTCTGGCTCGGGTCAGGCCCCTGCCCCGGCGACTGACGGGCCGTCCAGGTCCTTTGCTGTCAGCGCACTCGCGGCGTCTCTGACAGAGCTGACCTGAGCAAAGGCAGGAGGGCCTGGCGCGTCTTACAACTCTCTGGTTGTTGTGTCTGTTTTTTGTGTGTGTGTGGAACCGGAGATCGAACTCAGGACCTTGCACTTGTGAGGCAGGCGGTGGCACCACTGAGCTAATCCCCAGCCCTGTTGTTTGTTTTTTACTTGGGGTGCCAAGCAGGTACAGCCCCGCCCCTCCCGGACTCGTCCTCAGGAATGGAGCGACTCTCAGACCCTGGCTCGTGTCTCACGTCTGCCTATGTGACCCACAGTCAGCTTGTCAGGCCGCGTGGAGACAGCCTTGCGCCCCTGTGGCCCACAAGTTCCCTCACCAGAGGCACTGTGGGGCACGGGTGAGGCCTTAGTACCCTCACGATTCATCTCTGTTGTGTGCAATCTAGACACAAAACATCGCCCCACAATGCAGCAGCCAGAACAAAGCACCTCTGTCTGTCATGATTTCTGTGGGTCTGGAGCCAGGGTCAACTCAGCTGAGCCCCCTGAGCATCTCCCAAGGCTGCAGTCATGATGCAGGTCAGGGCAGTGGCTGCCGGGCCCCTCACCTGCCTTTGACCAGACTCCAGGGCCCATGGGGCCTCTTTCGAGAGCAGCCTGTGGCCCGTGGCTAGCTGTCCTCGGAGCAAGCAAGGAAGGAGGAGGACCAGACAGAGCCACGGTCTCCCCACAGTGACCTTCCATCTCTGGGTCACGTTCTGGTCACGAGAAGGGAGTCCCTAGACTCACCCGCACTCGCGCAGGAGGACCCCAAGCCAGGGACCGGTGGTGGCTGTGCCCAAGGCCGCCTGCCCTCCCCGTGGCCGCAGTCACTGCAGGTCCCTCAGGAAAGGGGCCTGTCCTCCCTGCAGCAATCCCTGCAGAGGCCATACAGCCTGTTGTGCGCTTCACTGGACACTACCTGGCCCCGAAACTCAAAGGAGGAGACGTGTGCCTGGGCTCACGGTTCAGGGGCCTCAGTCGAGAACATCAAGGCGGAAGGCGTTGGGGAGCAAAGCCACTCGCTTCACGGCCAGGAGCAGAGGGAGAGGGGGAGCGGGGGGAGACAGACCTCCAAAGGCAGCCAGCGACCTCGAACTCAGCTGTGACCGCGGCAGAGGAAATCCCCAGAGCTAGGCACCTTCCACAGCCCCACCTCTCACACCGGCGTCCGGGGACTCCTTCATGTGAACCCCAGCAGCTCCAGCCTTCTGACAGCTGGGGTGGGGGGCGGAATGGTGACCCCTTCATGTGTGGAGCTCTTAGCCGGAATACTTCATCACCCAGAATCTTTTTGTCTTTTTACTCGAAATGTGTGCAACGCGTAGCATTTCCTTACCTATTTTAACAGGAAAAATAAGTTGCATTGTACCATGCATCAGAACCGTTCTTTTGATACAGAAGTTCAGTTCAAATTGTGCAGTGAATCATTATTAAAAACTGTCTTAAGTGAGCTAGAGATCCTAAATGCAAATGCATTTTCAAATCAGTATTTGCCCTTTATCTTGATATGCAAACCTGATGAAAGGAACTGGCAGGTGGCAGGAACAATAGGCTTCTTCTTTCTCAGAGTGTAAATTTTAATAGAGGAAAATTTTAAGAACTTACACATCCTCTTTAGTCCTTGTATTTCAATCTTTGGATGTGTTTTTGATCTCCTTTCCCTCTTGTTCTGTCTTTCATAGGCGAAGAGGAAGTCCCTGATTTTGTCACTTTTCTTTATCAAATAACCAGAGGAATTGCAGCAAGGAGTTACGGCCTAAACGTGGCTAAGCTAGCAGATGTTCCTGGAGAAATCCTGAAGAAAGCAGCTCACAAGTCCAAAGAGCTGGAAGGATTAGTAAACGTGAAAAGGTCAATGTCTGCTGTGGTGTGTGCGCGCGTGTGCATGTTGATAATCCTTCCTCCAAGTTGCCCAAGAAAGAGGATTCTTTACGTTTTTTAAAATTTTTATTTTATTTTTGAGACAGAGTCTTTCTGTGTTAGTCCAGGCTGGCCTTGCCCTAATTCAAGCCTGTCTCAGCCCCCCGACTGGGATTTCAGGGTGCATCACCATGCTGGCTTCGTTCAGTGTTTGGAAAGATTTCATCACAGTCAAGTGGAAACAGCTCTCGGCAGAGCTGTGGATTCAGTGTGCATCTCGCCCGCCAGCCCCTTTCTGCTAGCCATGCAGCTCTCTGCAAAGCGGCAGGGTTGGTTTTTGGGGATTTTCTAAAGAGTGCTGTGAACTCCGAGTACCATGCAGTGCTTCTGCCCCTCGGAGTGGCCTCTGTATCAGACCTCCCGCGTGCAGGCGCCCTGCCTTCCTGCACTGCCTGCCCACGGGCAGCACGAGGGCGGGAAAAGAACGAAGGCACGGTGTCAGTAACTAAGGGTCACCTCGTGCACGGGTTCTCCTCTGGTGAACTGCTGGTGACGCATTTTCCCTCCAGGCTTATGTTGCTGAGAGCGTTTCAGCCACAGTCACCCGGGAGCTGCCTACGGGACAGTGCTAACACAGGGCAGTGCAGCGCAGCCTTGGGCCCAGCTCTGTCCCGTGCTCACAGCCCACCCGCCCCTGCTGGGCCCACGTTCTGACCAGATGTGAGACCTTGGTCCCTCAGTCACACTCCGAGGGTGTAACTGTGTTCCGGAGTTGTCACATGTCCATGAGATGGGGAAAAGGAAGGAGCACCCTTCCCCTGGTGACATTGGTGGCTTCTGAACCATCATCCAAAGGGCCGGGGTCCTGCCCCTGGGCCAGGTCCTTTCTGAGCCATGTGACAGATGACAAGCAGAGAGCTCACCATTCAGCAGGCAGAGGGGTCCGGAGGCATCAGAGCGCAGGGCTGTTTCCTGGTGGTGGCATTCTCCCTGGGGTGCAGGCCCTGGGTTCCATCCCCAGCAGCACCAGAGGAATTCCAGGGAGAAAGTCCTCTATGAGCTCAAAAATGCACTGTGCCTTATCCTCTGCCAAGTCCAGAGACAATGTGAGACTTTTTTCTTGGTGTCTTCTGTTCTTTTTCCTGGAGAAAGTAGAACAGAGCTGCGTACAGAATGTACTTACACAGGCTGGTAATAAAACAAGACAGTTTTTGCTTGTTGTTTCTCTGTAGCCTACAGAGCAAAAGCACAAAATGCACAGTTTTCTTACAAATATTTTCCCTCTTCCAGTGAATGTGTGGACTGTTAACCTAGACAAGGGGATTATTGCAGGAGGTTACATTGGAACAGAATCTGATAATTTATCATTAGGCCTTTTTTCTTTCCACTAAAGTATTTATCACATCAGTTCCCTTGGCCAAATTAAAGAAATCAAAAAATCCCTTGCCATTTTGTAGATGTTTCTAAAGTTTTTGAAAACAAGATCTCACCATGTATCCTCCTGCCTCAGCTTCCCGAGTGCTGGGATGACAGGCGTGTGCCACCTTGCCTGGCCTACTGTGTGGTTTATGGCGGTTATTGCGTGCTGAGTGTGTGCTCTGCAGAGCCAGAGTGTGCGTTGCGGGCAGCAGCCTAGATGGGGCGCTGGCACCATCGTTCCTGTTTTGAGTACACCAGGTCACGTGACCCTTAGGGCATGCTGTGAGTCAGTTCCCTTTGTCCCCATCTGTCGCTGTGGAAGGTGAGGGCAAGGAGCCGACGGGACTGTGCTCTGCGGTCTGCGGCGCCCAGCCCTTGGCCAGCCAGCTGCACATCGCTAGGTCAGCCTGCCAGCCTCCTCCATGCTGGGCCAAGGTGGTGATGGAGGAAGCCGCGGTCCCCTGTGCTGCGGGGCTTTGGGGCAGTGGGCCACCGTGCGGCCCACACCTGTCCCACTGCCATCACCGCAGAGGCTCGGCAGGCAGAGCTCGCAGGCCCGCCGGAGCCTGGTGCTCTGATGACATTTGCTTGCGTAGCTTTCCTTGAAACGTGTTGTCCCCAACCGCGTCATCTGTAAAATAAGCAGCATTTTATTTTCTCTGCAGGAAAAGACTGAAGTCTTTTGCGAAATTGTGGATGACACATAGTGTAGAAGACCTGCGAGAGTGGATGGACGAGTTTGAAGTGGGCGAAACACAGACTTCCCTTCCTGATGAACATGCGGACTGCTCTTCAGGAGGAGCAGCTGAGACTTAGAAAGAGCCCAGTGTGATATAGTGTCCAGCAGCGGCCGCAGTGCATCCCTTTGGGAGACGGATCTCTTCCTTTTGTGAAGGAAGTGATGCTCGGGTTCCTTCCCCTCCGTCTTTTCAGATAGCAGGGCCCCTCTGTGAGCGGAATCTGCAGGACAGGGCTCCTGCAGGCGCCGCTTCTTCCGGGGAGCCGAAGTGTGGCACACGCACCCTTGGGTGACAGAAGCCACTGCCTGTTCCGTTTCCAGAGATGATGTTAAAAGCCACCAATGTATTTTTCATGTGCATAAGAATTTTGATAAAAATAGAATTACAAAGCTCTTAGAGATTAGAGCCCAATGCCTGAGAGGAATAAAGTCATGAAATTTGAAGAGTTAAACATGGTCGCAGTTTGAAGCGGTTTAACGTTGAATGGTGCAGGCTTGGCTTGTCGTTCTGTGGAGTAATACATGCACCCTTGCTGTAGGTCTCGGAGTGTGCTGCCGAGTTCTGGTGTTTCCGAAGACCGGGCAGTTGTGTTTTTCGGGTTGCCACCCCTGCTCCTGTGCCGTGGCGCCCATCCGCAGGCCTGTGGTCCGGCCTGCTGCTGCCTGTCGTCCTCGAAAACTTCCTGCTCCAGCTCGGTGAGCTCTCAGCCCTCAAGGGATGGGCCCTGAAGCGGCCCCGTGGGGACCCCGGATCCAAAGCAGCACCGCACCCCCACTGAGGAAGTCGCTCTTCTCTGCTTCCTAGCCCTGGCCGGGGCAGAGGAGCCAGGAGCATCGCCCTGTGACAGGCAGGGCTGGGACACAGTCACCTGGAGGCGGCCTGACACGCAGGAATGCCTGGGCCTCCAGCTGCACCCCTGCAGGGACTCCCTGGGTTCTGCAGTGTGGACCCTCCACGGCCAGGGCTGGGGTGGGTGGGAGGAGGGCGGGGAGGTCACTGTGTGCCCACCATGACTGCCCAGGGCCAGCAGAGGCTGCGGTGCCAACACTGGGTATAACAGGGAGGGGTACGGGGCTGTTGCCAGGGTCCCCCTTCCCTGGGGTCTCAGGGTTGCCTGTACCCAGATGGAGGCTCTGGGAGGCAGGGTGCGAGGACTGCAACCCGGAATGCCGTGTGGTACGGCTGCTGTGGGGGTCACAGTGCAGCTCCAGGCCTCTGCGCCGAGAATGAGCCACACCGTGCTTTCCGCTGGGGAGCCTGTGAGTGACCTGTCACCTCATCTCGCTGCTGTCGCTGTTCCTCCGTCTCAGATGCTCCTAGTATACGACAGCTACTGTGATACAAGGTAGTGAAGACTCCACGGGATTGCGTTTCATCGCCTTGTAAAAATCTCAGGCTGTCCATGTCCTCCAGGGCCTCTGGGCTCTGAATATTAAAATCATTTGGTTCCCGGGCATCACCTAACCAGGGAGGCCAAGCCGAGCTCAGTGCCTCACAGCTTTGCCAGCAGGAGTGCACCTCTGTGCTGTACATGGCCTGAGCCTCCTGCGTGCTGGGACTCAGCTTAGGACCTTCTTGTGGGCCGCAGCCCTGCCCTGCAGCTGTCTGCACTGCTGTCCCAGACTCGTCAGTAAGATGTGCTCAGGGTCCGTCGGAGTCATTTCTCCTTACGAAAAGTTCCACGTTGTGTGTGAATACACTGATGTGCAGCCAGATTATTTCCACTTTGGGCTGAAGTGAGTAATTAAGCCTTTGCAAGCGTACAGGTTTTTATGGAAGCAGGCGTAGTATGTTTTCTGAAATCCTAGTAATTCTGGTGAGCCGTCAGGTTTGTGACCTGCTGTGCTTACAAGGGACTAAAGAGTACCTTTGGTGGGGCTGATAATTAATAGTTGTTAGGACAGGAAATTAAAATGACGCTCATAATCGAGGTACCCGTTCACTAGGGTTCCGAGACCCATATGGAAGTGTCCTTCTGACAAACTCTCAAGTTGGTGTGGAAGTGGCCCACTGCGTGAGTTCCCAGAAGGACGAGGCTGATGCCAAGGTGTTCCATGGACCAGAGCATTCACCAGTGAGCCCAGACAGACAGCCCTCACTGTGTCCGTCTGCGCCCTCCCGTGCTGTGACTGAGGCTGGCTCCGTGGGTGGGCGCAGACTCCGTGGGAGCCCCTCATTTAGGAGTAAGCACGCTGGTTAGCAGCAGCGGTGGTGAACCCATGGCACGCATCTGCAGTCAGCTGTTGGTTATCAGTGGAAGCTCTGACAGGTCCGCCATCACTGGTCAGAAGTACACACAAAGCTCAGTGATTACATGGCGCGTTTGTAAAACTGCAGCCCTCTGAAGTGAAACACTTGTCAAAAAATAGGGAGACACAGACCTAGAAAAGAAAGCAACACAGGAGAAGCATGGGGTTGTGCTTCGTCTCTTGCTGTGGCTTCATCAGCACAACTTCCCTTACAGGCCGCTCTGTCTTCCGCCGTGAGAGGGGTCCAGCTTCTCTGTTTTGCCTTTTTGAAGTGGAGGAAAACCTTTATTACACCAGTGGGCTCAGAGGAGTCTGTGGAGTCTGAGCCTGCTTTTATTTATTTAATTTCTGAGACAGGGTTTCACCTTGAACTCAGATCCTCCTGCCTCGGCCTCTTCCGTGCTGGGATTACAGGTGTGCGCCACCATGCCCAGGCCTGTCTTTGCTGCTGCTTCTCCCTGTGCTGTCTTCCTGCTGTCGGGCTCACACGCACTGCCTCCTTCCCGGCCGTACCGGACCCCACACCGAGCTCTTACCTTCTTTGCCCTTCCTGTTTGAGGAGGCAAACTTGGCACCCCAGGTATAGCTCAGTGACAGCACTTGCTCAGCATCGCAAGTTCCTGGACTCCATTCCCAGCACAGGAGCGGGAGGGGAAAGGAGAGAAGAAAGATGACAGGCCTGATGTCGCGTGATTGCGCTGCTGTGGGTGGGTGGTTCTGTTGGGGCCCTGGACGGGCAGCCGGCGAGGGTACCAGCGCCGTGTAGTGCACCGGAAATCGGCCTCCCAGAAACAGCCCTGCAGTGGGCCTGAGTCTTCACACACTGTCCACAGGCTGTGTGCAGAGGGAACTCACTAGAGTAAGGCTGAAGGCTTCCAGTGAGGGGGGAAGCAGTGTTCTCCCATTACAGTAATGGAGGGGCGGTAACCTGCAGAGCCTCTGCGAGGTGCGGTGGAAGCGGTTGTTGGATGTCGCCGTCTGCTACAGTCAGGGTTGGCAGGGAGCGCAGGCCATATAGGCACATAATTTATAGGGTTATTTTATGGTACCCAGAAAGTCAAATATGGAGAAGTGCAAGAGATTAGCCACATACTAGAGGCCCAGAGAATCCAGCTGAGGGCCCGTGGCAATGTCCCGCACAAGTCCAGCTGAAGGACTAGGTCTGAGGCAGTGTCCCCCCGACAAGTCCAGCCAGAGGCCTAGAGCCTGCGGCACTGTCGTGCTTGTCCGTATCGAGGATCTGCACCTGGAGGGCCCGAAGGCCAGTGGTGGAAGCCAGTACTGGTGGGATGAAGGATTGGTGCCACCAGGCTGAGGGATCCACACTGGGGCCAGGAAGTGACGCTCACGGTGAAGATCAGAGCTCCCCTGGTGAAGACAGCAGCCGTTCCCAGTGACAGGGAGGCCCCGAGCTCCTCCTCCAGTAACAGCCTGGTTCGCATCAGGAAAACCAGCCGCGGCAAGAAAATCAACAGACCACGATCTTCCCCTCCAGTTCTCTTTTTACGGTTGTTGGCAACAAACCTCAGATGGACCCTCCACGCCCAGACCATGCTGACTGAGTTCAGCTGGGTGTTACAAGTTGACCGTTAGTTAATCCACCACACCAACCAATGGAAAGGCAGCTTGTAAAGATGATGCTGTGTCCTCACCCATTTTGGTTACTGGATCTGGCTCTGCGACTTCTGGCTCTGTCCCAATGTCAAAATGACCAGGAAAGGTAAAGGTTTTGAGTCGACTCAGGACACCAGTGCAGCCAGAATAGCACAACCACAGACACTCGGGAAAGAGGACTCCAGAGCCACTGCAGAAAGTGGCAAGAGGGCTGCGGATGTAGCTCAGTAGTGCCCTGCCTGCCTGGCAAGTGCAAGGTCCTGAGTTTGATCCCCACACCCAGAAAATAAAAAAAGCAGAAACAATGGGATGAGTGTGTCTGCAGTGGGAGAACTTTGAGGGATTCACTTGTCTTTCACTTTAATAGAATTATTTCAGTTTGAACATTCACCATGTTTTGATCGCCCCTCATATCTTGAAGTTAAATATCCAGTTTCCGTGATCGAGGGTTCACACTCCTAGCTCTTTGTCCTAGAAAAATGAAAACTTACATTCACATTTATTCCTAATGGCGCATCGCTGACAGGAAGGCAGACGGCTCTGGTCTGGTGACTGGTGGCTCCTCTGCCCATGGACCAGTTCCCCCGAAGGAAAGGGACAGACGTGGTGAATCACCCCAGGGGCAAGAAGTGACCCCCGGAGGCCCGCACTCCGTGGCTCCAATCAGAGGACTTTCTAGAGACTAGAGACGGAGAACTGGGGGCCATGGCCTGGGTTAGAATTGAAGGGAGGAGAAAGTGGGGGACTTTGGGGGCCTCCACCCCGACTGTGTGTGCGCGAACCCCGGCACAGCTGTTAATCCAGGAAAGTGAATCTCACTCTGGAAATTAACTCAGAAGCACCGCGACGATCACTGTACACTTCTGTCTACAGCGCTCCTGCAGTTCTCAAACTGTTCTCCCCACGGTTCTGGTCACAGAGTTTGTTCCTCCTGGTTGTAACTGGATTGCAAGCATAGATGACCTGTACGGAAAGCCTGATACACGCCACCACATGAAGGGGCCTTGAGGACGTTTGCTCAGGAAAACAGAGGCAGAGGATGGACCCTGAGTGTGGGTGGGACACGGCCCGGGCGGTGCGTGGGGCGCAGCTGTGGTCAGGGTGCTGGAGAGCACAGCGGAGCTGTGCCACGCTCGCCCACACACCTGTGTGATCGTTCAGTTACGCTGCTCTGTGCACATGAAATTGTGTGGGGGGGTGCTTCACCCCATTCTACAGTATTAGCTTACATGACATTGCTTATCCACGGGGTTGATTTAGAAATGCTGGGGTATCTTTATGCATGCCTCCAAGTTTTCTGGTTTTTTGACACAGGGTCGCATTAATGTAGCTCGGGCTGGCCTTGAGCGCATGGCGCTCCTCCTGCCTCAGCCTCTCGTGAGCTGGGATTACAGGTGTGTGGCACCACACTTAGCTTCGCAGAGCTCCTTATCGAGTCAGCTCCCTGTGGAGCTGGGCTGTGCAGACTGGGCCGTTCTCTCCCAGGCCAGCCTAAGTCAGAAAGCAAGCAGAGCAGGTACTGAGAGGGCTTAGGGTGAGGGAAGGAGAGGGACTTAGCCCAGAAGTGGGATGTTGTCAGTGGTGTTTAGTGTGAG